CACATTATTGCCCTGGAATTTAATGGGCTATCAAACTGCATACTCAAAAAAATTCTAAAAAACTTGAATAAAAAGTTGAAAATCTAGCTGAAACTTTGCAGATTTTTTATAATTTTTGCACAAAGTTTGAAATGTGGATTTATATTTTGTTTGGTATATAATGAGCTACATAGGCTTTTATGGGAAAATAATAAACATTAAATAAACAAAAGAGAAACAGCCAAAATCGATCAAAATGTTGGTGACTTAATCAGCTGATCACAAGTGTATGTAAAACTTAATTTTTATATTAACGATCTCAAACCAGTTTACAATGAATTTTAAATGTGCTCTGTCGAAATGACATTTTAATATACCTTATGTATACAATGTCCCTCGGCAGGCAATGGCAAACCTCCGAGTGTATTTCTGCCATAAAAAACAGCTTTTCATAAAAATACAATCGCCGTTCGGAGTCGGCGTAAAACTGTAGGTCCCCCCGCTTTGTGTGACAACATCAAGGCGCACGCCACAAATCGGAGGAGAAGCTCGGCCAAACACTAACATATGTGTAAGCGCCAATCTATTATTATTATACAATAAAAGTATAATATGAATAATTCTTTGTGCATAAATTTTAAAAATATGTTCTTGGGTATGAAATGGCGTTTTTTAGACCAAGAGGGACGTTTTCTCATGCCGAAGACCTGACAATACTGGACGAGGCATCCAAGAATCTCTTCTATGAGCGCGTAGAGGGGTACATATTAGCGCTGACACGTATAAAAATCGTGCTTGGCGATTTCAATGCCAAGCTGGGCAGCGAAGGGATCTTTGTACTATGGGAAATTTGACCCTATTTTGTGGCCAAAATTCTAAAAGTTGAGATATCAAATTAAAACTTGGGCCAGTAGTAGTACTAGAAGTAGTGGCCTTGCCGCGCAAAAATAACCCGTAATGGTCACACCTCCAAAAAATAGCGTAATGGTCACCCGGGGTCCAGTGGACCCCACCCCAATAAACAGATGCCTCGTACGTTCTATTTTAAATATCGACTCGAATCCTCCACTGACCTTAAGTTTAAAACTTTCTCTTTGTTATCTGACAGTTTTTTTTCCAAGTTTTAAATTATAACACCGTGAATTATTTCATAAAACTCATGATTTTGTACCAAGTAGTTACCTAAGAAAAATTATAATTTCTTTAATATCGCACAAGATCGCAGTATAAGATTATGGGGAAATAAGAGATCAGGGACTATTCTACAGATTTATGATGAGTTTTTTTTAAACGTTTTTAAACATTTTTTTAAAACACTAAATAAACCTTGTTTTTAATTGTACAATTTCACTTTAAAGTCACTTAAATGCGGACGTTTCTTTGGCACAACCTTTAAACTATAATTCAAGTTTTAATTGGTAAATATTTTGCTAACCGTCACTCCTTTCCACTTTTCACTTTTGAAAAGCAGCAAATAGATTACGAGATACACGCATTTGAAAGTGGCACAAAATCAAGCTACACATTTTTCGTTTACAGAAAATTTCGAAACTATCTGTTTGAGGGTTACCAAATCAACGGTAAGTCAATTTATCGAAAAACAGAGTATACAGTTTTTTACTCCGAAGTATTCTCTGTAAGATAAGACAGAAAAAATTAATTTCAAGCAAGTCAAGAAATTGACTTTAGCCACAAAATAGGCTCAAATTTCCCATAGTGCTTTGGTGCCACTGTCGGAAAAATCAGCCTCCACGACGAAACGTCAGATAACGTGCCGAGGCTGATCGATTTCGCAGGGGCCGAAACTTGTTAGTAAATATGTAGCACTAGACACCACTATCTTGATGCAGCCAACCATTGCGACCGAGTGACCGATGTCCAGAACGTGCTTAAATTATGGAGGGAACACNTTTGTACCAAGTAGTTACCTAAGAAAAATTATAATTTCTTTAATATCGCACAAGATCGCAGTATAAGATTATGGGGAAATAAGAGATCAGGGACTATTCTACAGATTTATGATGAGTTTTTTTTAAACGTTTTTAAACATTTTTTTAAAACACTAAATAAACCTTGTTTTTAATTGTACAATTTCACTTTAAAGTCACTTAAATGCGGACGTTTCTTTGGCACAACCTTTAAACTATAATTCAAGTTTTAATTGGTAAATATTTTGCTAACCGTCACTCCTTTCCACTTTTCACTTTTGAAAAGCAGCAAATAGATTACGAGATACACGCATTTGAAAGTGGCACAAAATCAAGCTACACATTTTTCGTTTACAGAAAATTTCGAAACTATCTGTTTGAGGGTTACCAAATCAACGGTAAGTCAATTTATCGAAAAACAGAGTATACAGTTTTTTACTCCGAAGTATTCTCTGTAAGATAAGACAGAAAAAATTAATTTCAAGCAAGTCAAGAAATTGACTTTAGCCACAAAATAGGCTCAAATTTCCCATAGTGCTTTGGTGCCACTGTCGGAAAAATCAGCCTCCACGACGAAACGTCAGATAACGTGCCGAGGCTGATCGATTTCGCAGGGGCCGAAACTTGTTAGTAAATATGTAGCACTAGACACCACTATCTTGATACAGCCAACCATTGCGACCGAGTGACCGATGTCCAGAACGTACTTAAATTATGGAGGGAACACTTTTCGACCCTTTTGAATAGCAGCAGCACTTAAAGAAGTGGAGAAGACGAACCCAAGCCCCCAGTCGATGACGATGGAGTCGATGTCCCAGCGCCTGACTGTGATGAGGTATGAATAGCGATTATGCTGATGAAAAGTAACAAAGCTGCTGCAGCTGAGAGCCTGTCGGCCGAGCTATAAGGTGCTTGCCCGACAACTTGAATTCAAGTGTGCTCTGCCCAATCCACAAGAAAGGCGACACCGCCATGCGCGCCAACTATTTTATCGAGAGTGTTGTGTGAAAGACTGAAGTCCTGATTGCACCTTACCACTGTGGCATCCGATTTGCCAAATCCACCATAGATCTCGTATTCGCAATATGCCAAAACTTGGAAAATACTCGTGAGAATAGGATCGACTCATGCCTTCTATTTGTCGCTTTCGTATCACCCCGAAACTAATGACGTTGAGCAAGACAACCAGTTCCGTCAAAATTTAGGAGGACCTCCCAGAGTCGTTTGATACTACTCGAGGCTTCAGACAAGGTGACTCCCTTTCATATGATCTCCTTTAACTGATGTTGGAGAAGATAATAAGGGCTACGTCTGTTCTGCCTTCTCGGAATTAGATAGAGAAGCACAGCATGTGGGTGTGGTGGTAAACGAGGACAAAACGAAGTATCTCCTGTCATCACACAAACATTCAGCGCATTCGCGCCTGGGCACCCACGTCCCTATTTACAGTTATAATTTCGAGAAAGTGGAGAATTTCCTTTACTTGGGAACCAGTATTAATACCGATAATAATGTCAGCAGCGAAATGTAACGCAGAATCACATTTGCCTACAAGTGCTGCTTCGGACTGAGTAGGCAATTGAGAAGTAAAGTCCTCTAGCCGTACAAAAATCTTACTCTATAAGTCACTCATCATGCCCGTGCTGGTTTATGGCGTGACCGCATGGACAATGAAAACATCTGATGAGGCGGCACTTGACGTTTTCGAGAGAAAGAGAGACGCGTTGGCGTCGGCGAGTACCGCAGACGATGGAACGTAAGCTGTATGAAAATACAACGGCTACGATGGCTTGGTCATGTCGCACGAATGGACAGAAATGCTCCAGCTCTAAAAGTATTCAACGCGATGGTGGAAGAGCGGAGAAGGACTTGGATTCACTTGACATTCCCAATAGGCGTCTGTTTGCACAGAAGAGAAACGACTGGTGGACTCGGCAAAAATCACTTAGGCGGTGATGAAGCCAAATAATAAGAAGAAGAAGAACTTTGTGCGTCCTTGATGCATTTTCTCAAGCGAGAAATGGCCCATCAGCAATGTATGTATGTCTTGTCTGGCATAAGATTCAGTTGGTTATTTGTATGTAACTTGCGGACTTTAGCTTTCACAAATTGGACAGATATGGGAACATTGAACTTTCTCTCAAAACAAAACCATTGGTACTCGCACTGTTTTATAGTTTGCCGTTTCTCAAGTCCGACTTCTAAGTATATTTTTTTATTTTTACCTTTGCTCTCATTTGGACTAATTCTTATAAAAGTTGATTTGTTTATTTTGAACTCATCACACATCACTTTAACTGAAACACCACTTTTTAGTGTTTGCAGATACTGGTAAGTCACAGAAATGCAAAAAAATCAAATTTTGTGTGTCTGGTATGCATAAACAAAGAAAATTGTAGGTATTGACAGTTAAATTGTTTTGAACTTTCACCTATGAAGATGTTTTGTTTTAAAGACTTGCATTAATCAAGGAATTGCACGTATTGAGAGTTGCGGTTGCCATGTACGCACTGTAAATATTTTTGGTCGGAAAAACAGAAATGAAGTTTCGAACAATTATAAGGCTCAACCTATGAAAAACGCGTGTTTAGACCTTAAGTCCAGATTTTGAGGGTATTCAAAATTCCTGTGCTTCATTTGGTCTCTAGTGGGTTAAAGTCCCACATTGACGGGGTTAGGCTTTCGATGCTTCCTCTTCGGAAAAAACACATGCGCAGTAAAAAGTTAACGATTCAAATCGACGAATAGTTTTATATCAATTTTTGTGAACTTCTGTTTATGTGTTTTTGTGCAACATACTTTTATTGGTTACAATAATTTTAAGTTATAGTAAACAATTTTTTAGTAAGTAATAGGCCGCCCCGACTTTAGATATAGGTGTGCGATATGTTCGCGAGTATATCAACGAGCAGTGTTGCTGGAACAGCTGATTCGATGGGTTTGCATTTGTACAACTTCTGTATTCGTCTTGGTTTACGTGTGACGCTGGAAGCTAATTTAGCCCATACCGAGAACTCAGATGTTTATATATACATTAAACACAATCCGAGGAATTATTGAACTAATTATATTTTATTTTGGTTTTAATTTTAGATTTTACGGCATAAAGTTGAAAATGTAAAGCGAATGAGTTCTCACCCACTGTTACCACTATATCTTACTGGTGGACAAGATGGTTCCGTTCAAATATGGGAATGGGGACACCAGCAAGCAGTATGCTCTCCGCGGCCTTCGGGCACTTTTGCAAAAGTAACGCGTTGCAGATTTTCTGAGCAAGGAAACAAATTCGGAATAGGCGACGGAGATGGAAATCTGAGTTTATGGCAAGCTGGCATAGCATCGCAAAACAACAGGCCATTTTTCGTAAGTAATCAAGCGATAAAATGTTATGTTTAAGAGTGCTATTTCTTTCCTTTATTTTGTTATGTACATTTTATCTAATTTTGAAGTGAAACTTCTTTGGAGGCGGTGTCGCAAATGGAGAGAGAAATTTGTAAAGCTGATTGTGTTGCATGTGCAAGAAGGAACATATAGCATAGACAAAGAGAGAATGAGGAAGAAAACGACATGTGCGAAAATAACCGAAATCTCGCATTTGAAAGTTGAAAACGTTGCCAAAATTTTGAAATTAAATGAAACACAGGGAAATGTTTGGAATAATTTTTATGGTTAAGTTACTGACATGCTCAATTTCAAGTCCGTCTCTTCTGACTGATGTTAGCTTAAATGTTCCCTCTCATATATCAAGACACGTATGTCTTCTATTTCTGAAAGCTATAACTAATTTTGTATTGCACGAGCCACTCCGTTGCTTATTCCAGGATTTTAACTTTCATTCCAGCACGTTTGATATATCAGATTCGCTTTTCAGCATTACGAAAGCGATACTATCCTCTCTCAATAAACGATTTACTAACACAAACAATTTAGTTGTGTAGCTGAATAGTTTTAGATCTCGTGACTCAGCGCAAAAATTGAAAATAATGGTAAAACCGGTGGTATTATTATTATTCTAACGGTTTCGAAAATTCTCACTCACATTCTCTCACGTTCGCGAACAAGAATATTCCACAATTATTTTTGCATTCTTTCATCGCGAGTGAAAAACGCAAACAAATTTATCATCTCTCACATTCGGAATGCTATCGACAAAAATATTTCCGCTGCTTTTCATTCGCGAACGAAAAAAGCAAAGAAATTTCCTCTCACTCGAATATGAGAAGTCCGAGCATTGCCGATGTCGGCCTCTCATAAATGGGAAAAACTTTGCAAGTAATCCATTCGCGATCACTCTCAACAGCATATCGCGATTAACTTATCGTGAAAAACTTTCAACGACGTTGTATGGGAGATATTTTTACCAGCTTTTACTTAACTTGGTCATCCCGCAGAAATTTCAAATCGATGTTAAACTAACTTCCCGACAAGGTAGAGACTTGAAATTTTCAGCCTAACTCCAATCACGATGACAATACAATTTAAAATGTAAATGAATTCTCTATATGGTCCAGGGGTCTTGATAAAAAGGCGGTCAAAACATAGTAAAATTTTTGGCTAACAGAGCGTAATTTGCTAAAGAACGTAAAACCACTATAAAATTGTTAAAGCTGCCGGCGGTAGTAAATAAGAAGTATAGTTGCAGGCGCTAGTAAGTAAGTAGTAGTACGTAAGTAGAGGTCGTGCTCGTAGAATTAACCATATATTTATAAAAAAGTTGGGGAAAATAAAATAATTAACAGTTGCCCGTATTTCAAAAAAATCGCTGTACCTAAACTTTATTTATTGACTGTACATATACATATATGTACTAGCAGACCCGGCGAACTTCGTCCCGCCTAAAATAATTTTTTTGTTTTGAAACATTTTGGTCCAACATTTTCACCAACAGTTCACGTTCATGATTTTCAGTGACGCATTTATCTTCTAATATTACGGTTTGGTGGTTGTCAGAAGCACTGTTACCAACTTGGTGTTTTTCGCACTAAATTTAGTGCTTTTCTTTATTCAAAATGCGAAAGTTTTAGAGATTAGTGCTTGGTGCGTTTTTTGGTGCTTTTCTTTTTAGTTTGAAGACACTAAATCTGTAAATCTTAACAAAAGCAGGGGGGGCAAAACTTATAGAAATCGTAAGTTTTGTAAGAAACTTCACAAAAATCGAAACAAAATCATGTCACAATGACAATCATAAGCGAGAGAGCATATGTTTACCAACAAAATATGTGGCAGCACAAATGGACCAATCTGGAACAATTTTTATTGTGCTGTATTGGAGCACAATAAAAAAAATTGTCCCAATGAAAGTCTGTACAGTCACACGGTTGCCTCTTTTTATACAATTCTCATTGCCGTAAGTTGGCGAAAAGCAATATAGTGACAATAATTGCCCCAAACTTATCACAAGATTGTTCGAGCATGCGGCAATTGTTACCATAAAGTGTTGCGCTGACCTCTAAATTCTGTTTTTATCTCTGTTGTGTAAAAATGGCGTATTCTTAATATAAAAAAATAAATCAATTGCATCTGCTTTGTATATTGCCGGCTCATTTTGTGCAAATTTGTTGTTGTTTGAAAGCAAAGAAGCAAAAACTTGTGCCCAACGAAAACTCACGCATTTATTTAGAAGTTTGATCGTATAGTTTTTTTTTTATTTTTCGACGATAACTGCAATGTGCTATGTGGAGTTCAAGTTGCAACAGTTTTCTTTTTAATTTTGTTACGTAGAGGTTTTTTTATTCATTACAAGTAAAATTGGTACAAAAGAGTTATGTTTGTTTAAATGAAAGCTGCGAACTTACATAATTTATGTTTGGAATTAAATTTTATAATTATATNTTTGGAATTAAATTTTATAATTATATGTACAGCTCGCAACAAAAGATAGCACCTTAACATTTTGATCAGTCTTGACTTTTTTCTTCTGTTGTTTAATGTTAATTTTATCCTATAAAACCATAGCTCATTGTCTAGAAAAAACCACATAAGTCCAAATTCCAAACTTTATACAAAAATTATAAACATTTCTTAAAATTTTGATCACAATTCAATGGTTTTTAATTTGGGTTTCTAGAAAAAATTTTGTTTTGCAGTTTACAAAGTAATTTACAGAGAAGAAAGTGCATAATACCGTCAGCTAAAAAAATTATAAAAAATCAACAGGATCTTTTAGCAACTTCAAACCTCCACCTTATTGTACTAAATTTTAATGAGCTACAAAACTAAATAACCATTTTTTTCTAGAAATCCAAATTATAAACCGTGGGATTGTGTTCAAATGTTTAAGAAATTTTTATAATTTTTGTATAAAGCTTGCAATTTGGATTTATGCAGTTTTTGTTAGACTGAGCTATACTTTTATACGAAAATAATGAAGATTAAATAAGTAGAAGAAAAATAGTCAAGACTGGTCAAAATGTTGAGGTTCTACTGCTTTGTCGTGGGCTGTATTGAACTTTTAAGTTTTTTTTTTAATAAATTTATACTGTCATGGCAGTCCGCCATTTGGTGACATAAAATACCTTTCGTATTCTTCTCGTATGAGTTTTGCTTGTGGTGGTATATATCGCGGCAAAGATTCCGTTATCGGACTTCAAGAAAAATTATAATTTCACTACAAATTAAATTAAAAGTTATGTTGCTTCCGAAAACAAGGATATTAATTTCAGTGATTTTTGGACACATAAGGAAGCAAAAAAGTAAATTATTAATAAACAGCCTAAATATTGATGTGTATTGTTCACTTCAATTGCCGCACAAGAATACAATAAATATTGCCGCAATTTTGAAATTTTCATTGCCCCATGATTGCCAATCGAGCTATCACACGATTGCCGCACAATAAGCACAATATCGGCCTCTATTGCCGCATGAGTCAATGTATTGTGAAATCACACGATTGGGGCATAAAATGAGGCAATAATTGGTGTATTGCGGCAATCGTGGGATCCCAGCTTAAGAGCAAGAGTCTTAACATCGCTTGAACGAAGACATTTGAATTTACATATAAAAAACAGAATAAATTGATTTTTATTAATTTGAATCGGCATCCTTACAATACAATTTTTCATGCATACAAAGTCCATTAAATACTCCAATAAAATTTTAGTGCTTTTTTCGAGAAAAAACGCGATTTTTGTTGGGTTTTAGTGCTTTTTAAAATTCAAAACTTAGCAACACTGGTCAGAAGGCATATTTCCATTGCCGTCTTAAATAACCTAGCAAAAGTGTGTATGCATACAAAGATACGTAATAGTTTCAGTGCGTTTAAAAGGAGCCATGCCCCCTTTTCGCATAGCCCCAATTTTCTCTAAGAGTATGGGATTGATTTCATATATCTCCGCACCATGTGTATACCACAATGTATTTAAATTAACGACACTCGCGGAGAGAATTTTGGCAGAAGACTGATTCTGCAATCCACTTGAACAATATCATAAATAATACACTCAAAATGTATACATATTTACTAATTTATTTAGGGTCATATTACTTACAATCATATATGTATGTAATACTTCTATATTGGCAGTAAGCTAACTTCTCAATGTGTAAGCATTCCGAAATCAAAGCGAGACAGTCTAGTACCGTTTTTGTCAATGTATCGTGTACTTGAGTGCCGTTTTTGTATATGTGTTGTGTACATGTTTATTTATAAACGCATGTGTTCATTTTCTTTCGTACGTGTTTATTGATATATCTGTACTGTAGTGTTTTCGAACGGTACTAGCTCTTACTGCCAATATAGGAGTATTACATATATGCTTACAATAGATGTTCAAGTGAAAAACGATTTTACTTGTATGCATACAATATATGTGCATACATATTTACACAAGTATTACATATGATAAGCATATATAAATGCATAGTTGCATTAACCCTTATGCTGTTAGAAGGGAGAATGCAGTGCTTATCCCTATTCTTGGTATGTGCAGATTAGCGATGTTGCGAATTTGGAATTCTAACAGCTAACATCCGCGGATGCGGATGCGAATGCGAATGTGGATGTCAAGTATTTTTATGAAAAAATTAAACTAAGTTATTTGGGTAAATAAAAAAATGGCAAAATTAGTCNTATCCCTATTCTTGGTATGTGCAGATTAGCGATGTTGCGAATTTGGAATTCTAACAGCTAACATCCGCGGATGCGGATGCGAATGCGAATGCGGATGTCAAGTATTTTTAAGAAAAAATTAAATTAAGTTATTTGGGTAAATAAAAAAATGGCAAAATTAGTCATTTTTAATAATGTTTATTTTATTTAGTACTTGAATTTAAAAATTGGAACATTATATTTAATAAAAAGTAATGAGAATTGCACTGGGCTGAAAATATAGGATATATCCTCCTAACTTTAATCTTCACTT